GTGTGTGTGTGTGTGTGTGTGTGTGTGTGTGTACCTGAAGTAGTCGTAGGAGAACTCCTCCAGTGTGTAGGGTTTCATTCTGTCGTCACTCTCGGGCATGACGAGCTGTGAAACACGAACCGACTCCTGCCGCTGGTCCGGTGTCATGGTGACCAGCGCCTGATTGGTTGGATGACATCAGATTACGTCAGAATCAACAGTCACTGTCAGTCAGAATAACAATGTGTTTCCCTGTAATGATTCATCAGAGATTGTTGAGACCCTGATGTTTTGTCTCTGTTATGAGAATTTAGTCTTGAACAGCTTCCTGTGTTTTCACTTTGTTTAATGTCTTAACATTTAGATGTTATTTACTTTCAGACATTTCATTTCCTCTCACCACTATTTCCTGCGGCGGTCGAGCCATCGTGGGCAGGACATAGATGCAGTCAGCTGGGAAATCTCCTCTTTGATTGGTTCGTTCGTTGATGCCGTGCGCCCAACCAGAGTTGAGGACCTGCTCGCCGGTGTCCTGGTCCAACAGGATCAAGTCTCCCTTCAGGAAGCTGAGGAACGTTGACTCCTCCCCAGCTGCAGCAACAACAGACAAAGAGCAGCTTTACTATTCATTTCTTGGATTTTGAACAAAATAAAACCTTCCTCTCAGGACCTACTGGGGTTGGGGTTGTCTTGTAGCGCGACCACAAACTTTGACCTCTTCCTCAGGCCCTCCAGGAAGGTCACCACCAGGTCACGGATGTCTTCTGCGTTGTTGGAGGTGAACGTGTACTCGTCACCTTTGATGGTCGCTAGTGTGAAACTCTGACCCTGCAACTTTCCTCCGCTGAAACATAAAATGTGCTCATTGACACACAGCGACACATTCATGCATTTTCTGATTTGGAACAACGTCACTTGTGAGTATCGTGCAAATCTAAATAAATCTTTGTGAAATAAAACTAATTTAAAAAGAAAGAACGTTTCCTGACCAGACTCAGATAAATGTATGGTTCGTTGAGAATTAGGCATAAAAAGAAAGTGTTTCATGATTAAAATAAACCTCAGTAGATGATGGAACATGGAACAGAGCGCTCCACAATCAAACTCTAATCTATTTACTAATTCCCTCTGTGAAGAGACTACAGCTCCCAGCATGCCTCACCTGCTGCTGGACACTGCAGTGATTTCTGGGAAGGAGAGTTCTAAAAGGACCTGTTCCTGCTCGTCTACAAAATAAACTCCGGTCCAGTTGACGGCTACGATCAGGTCGTTTTTAGGTAGACTGGGACCTGAGAGGAGGAAGAGGAGGAGGAGGAAGAGGAGGAGGAGGAGAGAGGTTTCAGACAAATATGAATATGTGCTGAGTGTTAAGATTCCTACGACTTAAGTGTGATTGGTATATATTATAATATATAAATCATAATTAACATCTTAGCTACACTTCTGATCGGTTGTGGCTGGATGTGATCAGATTTGTAGAAGAGGTCATAGACGTCACCTGAGAACTTGAACGCTTCGTAGAAACGAGAGAAGAGCAGAGGCCACTTGTGACGAGCGAAGTCGACCACTTCCTCCTTCACCTTCTGAGGGTCGAACCTCTTCTGGGTGTAGATGCCCTGAGCAGAGCGAGGAGGGGGAGGGATTATTGTCATGGCTCGAAAAGGAAGAGAATCAAGAGAATTGTTCATTTCCTCCGATGTAAATTCAAACCTACTCCAGCACATGAAACATCTCAGCCACATCTAGAGCTCTTTGAAAACTGTTCACAGAAAATGTAAAAACCGTCCTGCGCGGGTTATTTAAGCAAATCGATAATATTGGTGTTAATACTGGATTTTATTTGAGATGCAGGAGCCACAAGTTTGTTCCTTTGCTCGTTTTTATGGTCCGGACCAAAATGTCGGACCGACACACTCGTGATTTGTTAAAAACAGCAGGTTTCTGTCTGGATGAATACGCAGGGACTACATGGACCGACATTGATCCACTGATCAGCACCTTTTTGTGGGCAGCCATGATGAAATGAGCCCATTTCTCCACCGTCCTGGAGGTGCAGATCTCTCGGTCTGGGATGTAGGAGGGAATGAGGCTGAGCAGCCGCTCCAGAAGGATCTCTGAGCCGTAGTCGACGTAATACTGCTGAGAGGCCAGTTCTGCCAGGTCCTCCTGAGGACACAGAGCCAGATGGACCAAGTTACATTAACTTCATGGACAGACATGACAATCAATATTCTCACCCAAATTCACAAAAGGTCAAATAAAGAACAAAACCAGTTGCAGTCACCCTGTCGCAGCGGTATTCTCCAAACTTGACGCCCCTCACAGTTTGTTGGTAGATGAGGTTGGTGGCGACCAGGTCGTCGCCGGGGCAGTGCCATGGCGTGAAAATCTCCTTCCTGAAGAACAGCCTCCAGGGGGCGTTCCTCTCCTGGGCCCCCTGCTCCTTCGCATACTGCTCACACTGCGACACGGCGTCCATCACATGGTCGTTCCCACTGCCCAAAGAGGAAACCTGCAGGAGGACGAGACGCATTTACAACAATGACTGTTTGATTTCCTTCACCAGTGAAAATCATTTGAAATGTTTATAACGACTTCTTCATCAAGTCTTTGGTGTTGAAGGTAAAAGCAGGTTTAAGTTGAAGATCCTCTCGTGTGTGTTTGTGCATCTACCTTGTCAAACAGAGCAATGTAGAGTGAGAACCCGAAGCGGTCTCGCAGGTTGATCTTGTCCGACAGGGCGATGCAGAGCTCCTTGGCCGTGGTGGCTGAGTCTGTCAGCAGCGTTTTGGTCGTGCCGTCCATGAACGTCACCGGCAGCATGATGGGCTTCTTCGACTTGGTGGCCTTGACGTAAACAAGCTTTTGTTGATTAGTATTCAAACACAGCGACGTCTGTTTGTTACAGTTAATTAGAAACATATCGCTGCTTCTGCTCCGGTTCCTCAGACCTGGAACAAAACTGTGATTACTAAAACTTCAAAATCGTCTTTTCAAACTCTACCTGAAAAACTTGACCCCTGACCTGCAGTGTGTGTGTGTGTGTGTGTGTGTGTGTGTGTGTGTG